TTTGCGCGTGCGCAGTTCGCGACGTCCGGCCACCACGAATGTCGGAGCGGTACTGGCACAAACTTTCAACCTTCCCCTTTAAAACGAGACTAAGATGGCGGCGCTACGTCTATTTTTTAGCCGAGTTATTGAAGTTTGAAATTACTTCGACAGGAACTGTTGCTCATTTGGGCGCGATTGCCTCCCCACACCCGGCATCGATTTTAAAGACGTTTTCACGTCAAAACAACAGTTCTAATTTTTTTCTGTACTGAACGACGAGTTGCCATCTGTTTGGCAAACCAGAATGTTGAATTGAGAACATTACGAGGTAAATAAAAGGAAAATTATTTCAATACGGGAGTTAGAAAAGTCGTGGGCACAATTTTGAACTTGGAGACGAAGGATTAAGAAAAAAAATATGATATTGATTTGATAATCTATACTGCGTTTTTTCTTGTCCAGAAATGTCTGCTCAAATATTCAACAGATAAATGAATTCTGAGAGGCTGTTCGATCACGCAGGGCAACCTTTTCAGATCAGTTGTTGGTGGGATGGCGCAGACAAGAACTGAGTCCGCCAGACACAAGAAGACGCTCCCCGCCTCTGCGTGCCGGGTCTCTTCCGGCTTTTGTCTTCGCAATGACCCCAGTGCGCCCCCATTTAATTTCATGTCTTGTGGGACAGATTTCTCTGAGAGCCCCGTAATTTTCTTCCCCGTCCTCCATAGCTCCGTATTCACTCAAATGTGTTCTGGGTTCGTTAGCTGAGGCAGTTCCACGCCCCATCGCGACGATGAAGACGCGTGCCTCGTACTCACCAAGACGGATCTGACCGCGCAAAGACACGAACTCAGTAGCAGAGTAAATGCTGAGGGTCATTACATATAAAATCGAGAAAAAAAATTGTCAGTAACGCCAACAATTTTTATTTTTTTATTTTACGTGAATTGGAATGTTTATCCAAAGTTTCAGTTTTCGTATATTGTAACTAAATATCTGCATATTTATTGACGAAATTGTGCACTTATTTTTAAGACGTGGCAGGCCATTTTTCCACAAATGTCCGCATTATTTAAAAAGTGATAAATACAAAATTCGGTGTCCGGCAGAAGTTTGCCTCGAGGAATTTGCTGGTGCGAAGTTTTTACATGAAACTGCGGCCGTTTTGGAGTTACGACCTTTGTACCAACCTTTCTCAGAAAACGTTTGGAACTGCACTTAAAATGCTGAAACTTGTACCAGGTACACAAAATAATTGATCTGCTGTAGAAACATCAGAAGCCTGTGAATTTAAATGCAATAGGAAACATGAAAATACCTTCTCAGAAATTGAGTGGAGAGACAGGAAAATTCGTCGATCAGCAAAAATAACTTCTGGGCCGAAAATTGAGTACGGGAACTTCCGGAAAATTGCTCAACCTCACACGTCGTTTAAATTCGACTCCCTGAGGATATGTGACAGACGCGTATTGCACGAGTGTGTTAATTCATAGGATCAGAAGATACATTAGGGTCATTCAACACCAAAAAGAACAAAATTTAAGGGTCAACCACACATCAAAAGCTAATTTGGATTATATTTTTTAAGATCAGGTATCAATAAAGTAAAAGTTTCCCAAAGTTGTAATTTGTTGTTATGACTAAATCACCAGATACTTAGTAATTGAACTATGCACTTATTTTTAAGACGTGGCAGGCCAGTTTTCCACAAATGTCCGCATTATTTAAGAAATGAGAAATACAAAATTCGGTGTCCGGCAGAAGTTTGCCTCGAGGAATTTGCTGGTGCGAAGTTTTTACATACAACTGCGGCCGTTTTGGAGTTACGACCTTTGTACCAACCTTCCTCAGAAAACGTTTGGAACTGAATTTAAAAATCTGAAACTTATACCAGGTGCAAAAAATAATTAATCTGCCGTAGAAACAAATAATTAGCGTGGACGTCTGCTCTGTCGCTACCAAACTAAATTTTTATCATCTCATTGGGCTGTTGGCAGCACTGGTTGGTATGGAACGATCAGGTGACACCGCCAGGAAAACCTCATCAGTAAGAACTCGAAATTAAGTCGGCACAGAACGACTCCAGCAACAATGTTGTTGTTTTTGGTTTTGGTTTTGTTTGTGGGCGCCATTTGTAAGGAGGAGGAAGTTCGTCTTTGACTTGGGGGAATTCAGGGGAACCGATTAAGTGCGTGCGTGCGTGTGTGAAACGCATCAGAATTTGAAGTTATTAGACGCTGCATCACCGGAACAGGAAGACCACAGATTTCATTTTGATGATCTGACGTGCTCCAGAGAGTCTCAGAATCGTTTGCTTCACAGATGATGGAACTTACCACGATTGGTGGTACATGTTACGTGTCACTGCACGTAATGATGAAGAATGCGACGTTCTTTCGATATTTGTGGGGAGGAATAGATGAGGTATTTTGACATTTTCATGTCCACAAAGAGAAGATACATGGCATCATTGTGTGGAAGGAGTGGACGACAGTGCAGCGCTGTTTCAGACCTAAGTCGAAAGTGCCTTCTTCAGTACGTGGATTAAATAAGAGTGTGGTTTGACTGTATGTATATTGGTTGTTAGTTTCAAGTGAGTTCATCAAGATTCTTATAAGTTTTGAAGCGTGTTTCATTTACTGTCGTCTGTTATGAGGAAATGTTTCATGCCTACACATTTGAAAGTGTATTTTTTCATCATTTCAGTGAATGTCCGGTCTTTTTAAAGTTTTATCTGATAATTCAGTCCTTTGCGTTGGATAAAATTTGTACGTTCTTATATATACAGGCTGAGTCAGATGTATGTTTACAAACTTCGTGTCCGTGTTCCAGGATCAAAAACTAGAAAAAATGTTCCTATGAACATGGGGTCGCAACTGTTTCATTTTCGAAATAATAGCCAAAAATAATTTTCAGTGTATGCCTTAATTGCCAAGTATAAGGACAGGGATGTTCCTTTATAACAGATGCTCAAAGGTTGCGCCTCCATTCTCCACACATGCACGAGCACGACGTACGTACACAAGACTGACAAATTCGTTCGTACCCACCAGGGTTTCCTCGAATCATCTGGCATGCTTTCTGCCCACGTTCCCATAGGTCGTCTTCATTGTTTATGGGTGTTGCATAAACTACGGACTTCAAGGGACCCCACAGACAAAAGTCCAATGGAGTCAGGTCCGGTGACCTCGGTGGCCATGTTACTGGGCCACCACGCCCAATCCATCGTTGAGGGTACTGTTCATTGAGATGATATCTGACACGATGGGAGAAGTGTGTTGGGGCTCTGTCGTGCATAAACCACATTTGTCTTCTTGTATTCAGTGGTACATCTTGAAGAAGACGTGGCAAGTGTCTTCTTAAGAATCACCGATGTGAAGGTCCTCTTAGACGCGATGGAAGCATTTGTGGACCAATAAGCATGTCGCCAACAATTCCTGCCCAAACGTTAATTGAAAATCTTCGCTGGAAGCTGGATTCACTTTGATATAAAGTCAATTCATTGAAACTTATTTTGGGCTATTATTTCGAAAATGAAACATTTGCGACCCCATGTTCTTAGGAACATTTTTTCTAATTTTTGATCCTGGAACACGCACGCGAAGTTTGTAAACATACTTCTTACTCACGCTGTGTGTGTATATGTATATTTCCCCTGGCCTTGGTTTATGAATTTAAATGAAACCTGATACAATGGTCATAACTCCCAAACTACTGCAGATACACACATAAACTTTTACCGGTCGATTCTTTGAAAAAAATGACTGCTGGGCTCCAAATTCAGTATTTTTGACGTTTTAAATAATGGGCTTATTTACACGTTTTTAAAAAATGACTTCTGCATCCTAGGAATTTAATAATTTCATGAATTAATATCTAGGATTTTAGACGCAGTAGAAAACTGAAACTTTGTAAAAATATTTACTCCGTAAGTATTTACTTGTAAAATAAAAATTATTAAGTCAGTGATAATATGGTTGGCAGCAGTGTTCGATGTGTTATGAGATGATCGTGTCCGATTTTTTGCTTATTACCGAAACGCTGTTGGTAGCAAATCTAGTGCGCCGTTGCTATGATATGTTTTAGGTACGCCATCCGTGAACGCTGTGTTTTTATAATTTTATAAATTGAGTATATTTAAAGTTCTATAGACGTCATTTGATAAACAGCATTTACTTTTAACTCAGTTACGTTAAATATGTAAATTTCGAAGGTCGCGTCTTAATAAGGTCGTGGTCCATTGGACTTTGTTTATTCTGTGCATTAAAGCGCAGACCGACTGTCACTTGTTTAATAACTTTTGTGTTCATGATTCTTCCCCTCTGTAAATAAAACAACGGATGTATCAATATTTTAGCACAGCTGTGCTTTCCATTGCAGACAAAAGCCCTGTGCAATTTTTCTATTAATTTGGGTTTTTTTTATTTTTTTATTTATTTAGTGTTCTGTCTGACGACAGGTCCATATGAACAGGATCCTTCCATCCTTTTCTCGGACTGTGACCTGTTCATATACGTTCTTGGCAGATGATCCAGAAGTGGTTTGCCGTTGCCTTCTTCTGTGTGTGAATGGAGTAATTGTTGGGATGCCACGGAGAAACCGGGGAAGCCCCCGGAGGAAAACTCCGCGTTGCCTAGACCACGGCCTTGCCCAACACAAGTTATAAATTCGGTTACCGCCGGGAATCGAACCCAAGACCCCAGGATTACAAGGCCAGCGTTCTAACCGCTAGAGGAATAATTTAGGACGTAGCGAGCAGCGGTGTAGGCTTACTGCATTGTGAGTGTACAACAGCTGGAAAGAGCTTAATTTGTAAACACTGTTTCCCATCTGTGGAATGGCTACCCACAAAGCGTATTGAACAAAATGAAGGAAAGTTCGTATATGAACCGCTTTTCAGGATGTCTTATAGAAGGTACATAAAGCCTACGTGAAATTCTAGTAGATGTTCTGTGACCGGAATTGTAAACGTGAGGAATTCTCTTTGGTGTATGCGTGTAGGAAGGCGCTAATTAGCACGAAAGATGCAATAATTTCCTAGTGAGTGATGTGACGTTAAACTGGCGTTTATTTGTGTCTGATAAAATTTTAGTTGCAAATTTTCGGATAGAAGCACTGGACTATTTGCTGTCTTGAAGTAATCAAATAAAACTTTGTTACAATTTCAGTTCAGGTAACAAAGAGGATTGGATATGTGACATCCAAGAATGCCATGGAAAATATAATGAGAAGCTAAGTATTTCATGGTATTTCAAATTATAAAATAGGTGCATTGGTAATGAAGTTACGACGTTTCCAAGTGGAGTCATACGTCGTTAAACGTCTTCAAGACATGGCAGTAGGCCTGTCAGTTTCGGTAGGTACGCAGTTCGGAATTATGGATCCTGACGGAGAACAGCAGAAGCAAATGGATGCCGCAGACATTCCATTTCTTGGTTTTGCGATAGGGAGGGGTGTCAGTTGGGGAAGGCTCTGGAAATTGAGACTGCACAGAAGACCTGCAGACAAAGGACAGACGAGGTTTCGCATTTCAGACACAAATTACAAACGCGTGCACAAAGTTGACGACGTAATTCCAAAAGGAGTGTTAAATCACATAACCCTTGGATGCCCTAAGAAGAAAGAGGTGATTAATCGAGGATAACACCGGTAAGGCGGACCCGTTAAAATGATGGTTAGTCATATCCGTAAAACTAAAATGTTTTTTTATTATTAATGGAGACCTGGTCGGCGTCTCTGAATCGCTGTGACCGTCCGCATGGATGGTCATCGTTATTGAAGAAATCGTACATGATGGCGTCTAAGCCTGAACTTCGGCGACCCGTTCTTCAGTGCCTTGAGCATCTGCGGGTCCCAACTTTTTCGTTGGCTTTGATCTATTAGACATTTGGTAGGACTCCTTGGATGAGGGATCGGTCCGTCACAAGGCCTCCTCTACCTGTACACAGGACAGCACAACACAGAAAAACGCGGACAAACATCCATGCCTTGAGTGGGATTCGAACCCACGGTCCCTGCGACCAAGCGGCACAAGGCCCACGCCTCAGACCGCGCGGCCACTGAGACGGCGCCTGAAATAATAATATTTATCTGTGGCTCTTGAAAATCGTTCACAGAATCTGTCATTCCACATTATAACACTCGGTGATAGTCGATACTTACTTTCCTTGGCTTCAGAAATATTTTAATGGTGTCCTATTTGAATTTATTCGATTAAGCCATTCTCTGCCTGGTTTCGTTCTCTTTCCTGGGTGTTTGTACCATTAAATATGTAACTTTGTGGTGTGCACTGAAACCAGAGAAATGATTGTAACTTTTCCCCCGCGTAGTTCACTTGGGTTAATATATACGACCATGTAGTACGTTCAGACTAATACAAATACAATACAGATTTGAGCGCAATCCACAAATTTCATTATTCAGCCTGTAATTTCGTACAATCTCTCTGTCTTTATGCAGCACAGACTGTATCAAAAAGATTTCATTTGGGAAAATTGTAGTTGTATTAATATTTAGCTCGTTCGTCCCCCTAGCCATACGTTACTAAACTATATGTCAATTTATGAAGACGTTTCGGTTGTACTAGTTGTTCTGATATGGTCATCACCTGCTCTCGAAATAACGTACGGGCGTCTGTAAAACTGTTCCCCGTGTAACGTAGAGTCGACTAGGTGAAACATACGAGGTTTTCCCGAAGGGTGGAACGCAAATTCTGGTCTTCTGGGTTACGAATCTCGGTAGCATGTAGTGAGGTGGTTGCCAGCGTCGAGGAGAAGCATGCTGCATACATCCTCAAATATAAACGATGAAGATGGAGGCAGCAAGTTCCTGCGAAACGATGGCAATATCTCGTGCATGCTGCGCAGAGATTTTTAATGAAAGCCTTTCTGCGTAATTGGTACTTTTTATTTCCGGAAGTAACTGTAATTGACTGTTGTGCTTTGCTGCTGCCTGACAGCTGCTAACTGTGATCGGGCAGTCCGTTGCTCTCCTGTTTCAGGTGTGATTCTCTTCTCGAGCGCCGTGTACTTCGCAGAGGCAGGCTCTGAGCAGTCCTTCTTCAAGTCGATTCCTGACGCGTTCTGGTGGGCTGTTGTTACCATGACAACCGTGGGCTATGGTGACATGAGGTAACGTGTGTCTGAGGTTCATTCCCTCCCTTGTCTTTCAGGTGTGGTCCTCTTCTCGAGCGCCGTTTACTTCGCGGAGGCGGGCTCCGAGAACTCTTTCTTCAAGTCGATTCCTGACGCGTTCTGGTGGGCTGTTGTTACCATGACAACCGTGGGCTATGGTGACATGACGTACGATGTACTCAATTTAATAAATGATTTAGTTTATACATTACGTTTCTTGGTTTGGTTTTTATTTACTTATTTATTTTTCTTTCCATATCATATTTTAATTACATTTCCCGTTCAACACGTAGCTTGCAATGCCAGTCTTGTTATGTCCCTCCGTCATATTTAAATTTTATTTAATTTTTTTATTGAAAAAAAGATTCAGTAGACAGAATCGAAAGCATACAGACAATATACGAAGAAAATTCTTTGTTAGTAAAACAAAAAATGAACCGCCATGCACGCATGTTTCTGATTTCTGAATCGTGCATTGAAATTTTCGTTCGGGGGTGTTGGGTGACACCCCTCCCCCTCCCCCTCGCTCTTAGGATGTACGGAGGAATGCAGGACAGACGGACAACGGGGAGGTGCCATCAACAGGAATCCGTGAACTGATGTAGTTGATAATTGTAACTTGCAGGCCTACAGTAACGTTGTTACCTTTTGTTGTCAACAGCCCGATCTCTCCTTCTGTCGCCACCCCACCCCACCCCCCTGTGTAGCACCCGATCCCCACCTGCAGCCAGCAGTTGACGCCATGTTGTCTCTTCAGCATTCTCTCTGCCTCTCTGTTTCTCTGCGTGTTGCTCACGACCTGTCTGTCTACTTCATACCACACCGGTGCATTGCCATGCTTGTACATAGTGTCTGATTGGCCCGTGTACCAAAATTACTATATCAGTGGATACAAATGAACAAAGAATTTTCTAAGTGGAATGTGTAAAAAGGAATATTCATTTGTTTTCGAGTATAATGTTGAAAATAAATGGATATGGCTTCCTCTCTGCATGCCATTGCATTCTTCCTGCATGTTTCAATATTGCGTGCGCTTGTAGTGACCGACCGTGTGGGTGTGTACGGATGTGCAGACTTGGTTTGTTTGTGGTATAATGATGATGTTTGGTGTTGGCTGCACCCCCGAAATGCATGACCGATTTTCTTGTTTGGTTTTTCACTTCCTTGTGTTTGGTTAGTTTGTACCGAATGCTTTTCGCGAGTGGTTGCGTGTGGTTTCATTGGCTGCTCGTTTGGCCTTGAGGTGAAGGCGCCTGTGTGAAGTGGAATGATTGTGTTTTAGCTTTACTTTTAGTCACACTTCGGTGACGTGTTGTGTCGGATCTTTTTGATGTTTTAAGGATCCTCCTCTCTGTCCTTGTATCATTTCGTATGTAGTCTTCGTCTTGATGGTCTCTTCTCTGCCTCATGCTTCCCCTCTGTTTTCGACGTACCTCGCTTTCCTTCCTTGAGCGCCACCCCATGACCGTCGACCAAGTGTTCCACTCACACGCCTCACACAGGCGTGTGTCTTCCTTGACACACAAGTTTATTTTAACTTTTTTTTTATGAACTGCTGAGGGTCGCTCCTGAGTTCAATTTTTATGGTGGTCGTGGCGTGACCTTCCACTTGCTGCTGGCGAAGCAATGGAATGTTACGTCGCTACTTGTACAGTGTACGGCTTTCTGAAACGTCGTCCCTCGCCTTGTTGCAGACATCCGTAAAATTACATGTTTCTCTCCGAGATTCCGGCTTGTGGGATGTTTGAACGGACGTTTAGGTACGCCTGCCGAGTTGTGACTCGCGTTTGAAACGTCTCTTGGACCTCTTTCCCGTGCTAGCACCTAGTTTCCAGCTCGCACCATCTCCTCGGATTCCATCTACTGGCAGAACATTTCCTCCCGTACGTCGTGGCTTTAGTGAAACAAATCCTGATGCCTTCCGACGTCCTCATGTCCCGTGTTGACTCCACAGTGAGAGTGCATATTTGTCGTCGACGTACTGCAGCTTCGAAGGGTGCTGATCTTGGTCCCCCCTCCCTCCCTCCCTGACCTCCGTGTTGCAGGCCGGTGGGAGTCTGGGGCAAAATCGTGGGTTCGCTGTGTGCCATCGCCGGCGTGCTGACCATCGCGCTGCCGGTCCCGGTGATCGTCTCCAACTTCAACTACTTCTACCACCGTGAGACCGATCAGGAGGAGATGCAGTCGCAGAACTTCAACCATGTGACCAGCTGTCCGTATCTCCCCGGCACATTAGGTGAGTTCGGATTCGAAATCTTAGTCGTCGTAACACAAAAAAAAAAATAGTGCGTGAGGGTCTTGAACCAGGAACTCTGACACCGCCTTGAGTGTCGCACAAAGAGCTCGCGGCACTGATGGATTTAATCGTCGGAGTTCTGAAGCCTTGTGCGGTGGTTATTCTACTGATATTTTCCGTCGATAAGTAGAACACAAAATTCGAAGTAAACGCGACGTCGTAGTTCTCACTTAAAAATGTTAAAAATATTTACGTTACGTGGCGTAGTGATATTAAGGAACAATAGCACATGCATTTCCCCCCCCCCCAGTTGGAACGACCAAAGTTTCGCTACTTGCATTCTCTGGTAGGTTTCCATTTCATGAAGTACACGGTCACGTGCTCTATAAATAGGCATATACTAAATCATGCGATTAGTTTCAAAGTAACAAGTACATTGGCACCCATGAAGGAGGGGGAGGACAAAGTGGATTTCCTGTTCGTTTCGCACTTCCTCCGCTGTCGGATGGCGTGAGGGAGCTCGTCTCATAGAACATTGGGCCCACCTGTCACATTACTTTGTCGTACCTTCCTGAAAATGGAGGCAGTATGTTCCTCCGAAACGTTGGACCCACCAGGATTCCACACGACGTTAGAACCCAGTAGATCATTACCGCCTTTAGAACCTAAAATCTCGCATATTACAAGAAATTATAAAATTGCGTTGGGCTTCGGAAATTCTAAATGTTGATGAGTCGTGTGTAAATTAATGTAGTTCGCAGTTGTTACACGTCTAATTGGTTATGTCGCTAGATATAGGCATATGGGAGTAAGGCAATGTCCTACGTAAGCGATAACAGGGGAACTATGCGAGCTGCATAAGTAGCATGGGGTGTCATGACATAAGGGAATCGCTTGTTGTGTCCTACGTGAGAGAAACACACGGCCTTCCTGCGCATGCCCCTTCCCTGTACTGCATAATCAGAGCTTTCCTGCGCATGCGCCTTACTGGCCAGCGCAGCGACCTGCGCGAAAATATCAAAATATTTGATCTCGGACTTTGGCCGCCGACCGCTTCGCTGGAACCTAGGACAGCGCCACACAAACAGCCAGTTTGATATTTCCGCTTCACCCACGCAACTCGCACCGCTCGCATTTAATCGCTCACGTAGGACACCGGGTAAGACTGGGATATTTTGGAAATATTTGTTAGGTTGGGTCTTGCAAAAGGCCGGATGTTTGTCATCCACGGGGAAAAGCACGTCTCATTGAAACGCCCTTGGGGCTTGGAAAAATGTGGAATCGCCGTTTGTTATCAGGTTCTGTCGTTCCGCAGGTCAGCACATGAAGAAGAGCTCCCTGTCCGAGTCGTCGTCCGACATCATGGAGCTCGAGGAGGGAATCCTGCTCACACGTGACGTCACCGCGAAGAAGCAGAACTGCAACCGAAAGCACAATAACAACATCAACGCGATGAGCATCGAGACTGATGTCTGACTGCTGGGTGGGTGAGCCTCAGACTAATTCAGTGCGACGGCGCAGAACAAGACTTGCAGTCAGCAGCGTCTCCTTAACTTTGGGGTGCATTATTTCGGCTGTCGGAGGAACTTCCTTTCGCTAGTCTTTCCTAATTGCCGCTGTAACATTCAGTGTTCTCGCGTTAAAGTGTTGTAAGGGCAGAGTAGGCCCCAAAGTCTAATGGTCCAAGACTGGGTGGAGAAATCGGCGTAGGGTGTGTTAGGATACTGGACACGAATAAAACCGGGCATCATCGCACATGGACACAGCTGATGAGCTTATGCCGGTCTGGGGGACACAGCCACACGCCGAAATGATACGCCCTGAATAAGTCACGTTGCTGGTTGTAATTCTTTCTTGCTGTACGCCGTACTTGAGATGTTTATACGTTCTTTACAGAAACGTTTATGAAGGCGGCTTGTGACGAGTAGACATGTCAACAGCTTGACAGCAGTTCTTCAACAGCCACTCTACACAGAGAAAATTTACTTTCCGGCTTGCGAAAAGTCTTGAATTACTTTAGAGATGACAGATCATGACCAGACTTGGCCAAGGAGATTCCAGAAGTCCGGGGTCAACTCCCAAAATAGTATAGACACTGCGTAGAATGATTAATGTAAACTTCTGCATTTTTTTTAGTAGCAGTCTGATTCTATTAAAACTGACAGAGAAAAGCGGAATTTAGTTGTGATAAAACTGTAATTAACAGCGCTTTGATTGAATAAGATAAGTGAGACTTCGAGGAAGATGAAAATCAAAATTCATTTTAATAGGCCTGGACTTAGTGTTGCCTGTGATAGGCTATTTGCTGTTCGCAATTAATATTGTCGTTTATTTCCGACATTCATCTATCCTGACATGTGCCAAGTCAGAAATATTGTGTTAGTAACTTCACGTTCGTATGCCACAACGGACTGACCGTCTTGCGGTGAATGTAATTACATTCATTTGCCATCGTGTAGCTTCTTTGGGATGGCAGTATCAGGGCTTCTCCCCTGTCGTTGAAATTTTTTTTATCTTAATCCATTATTTCCAATAGGCCATTTGTGGAACCCGAATGGCTATTACCGTGTTCACAAGAACCCGCTACCAGTTCCTATCCCAAGCCAGATCGATCCAATCAAATGAGCCAAATTTATCTAAGATTCATTTTAACATTCTCCTCCCATCTGTGCAGGGATCTTCTCTTCAGGATCTGCAACCAAAATGTTGGACACATTTATCATCCCCCTGTTCAATCTACATTCCCCGCCCATCTCAACCTTCTTGGGTCGATTGCCCTAATTATATCTCGTGAAGAGTGCAAACTACGCATCTCTGTCTGTCTCCTTGACATTCCATCCCTCCTAGTGAATTGGTAAAACAGATTTCTTCCACTGCAGTCGCATTTCTTTATTAACCAAGACGCAGTTAATAAGTTTCTAGATATCAGGTTTACTATGATTTTATAAATACTTGGTAAATTTTGTTCTTCAAATTTTCAGTACTGATCTCAACCTCGAAGGAGATTAGCTGATGTACTAATGGTCACTTGTACGTATTTCAGTCCTGATATCATTAACCTCGTGTATTTTCAGTAGCTGGCGAGTTTATCGACCTTAGTGACATAATATGTCAGTGTAAAAGAATACGTAACATTTTCTTGAACCCATATAATGTGTCGCTGGTTCAAAACGTGTAGTACGAGGTGAAAGGTTGACAACACAAAGCCAGGCGAAGTAGAACGCAACAAGAAAAGAGACGGATCTATCAGTCATATGAAGCTGTATGAGCACCTGAGATGAGGTTGTATCAGCATTAGATAGTAACGCAATTGCCCAAACATATTTAAAACTAAGACAAGATTTTGAGAAAGAATAAATCCATAAAATCCAAATTAAGAACATAACCGACGAACTCGTGTAATTATTCTGCATCGGTGTCATGTCTTGTCCACCCGAACCTCCGTGAAGTGATCAGCGTAATGTTTGGTTAAACCAAGTTTGCCTGTTGGAAAATTTAACCCCGTGTCATTTGAGTACAGTTTATGGGCATTCTGTCGTATAAATTCTTCAGCCGAGACAATCCTCCTATTGAATAAGTCAGTACAGTTTTTCCAGAATTAGGGTCTATTCATATAGGAACGTAAACTCTTTATATTGACTCCGAGCTCGTCCGTTCCACGAACGAGTCTCGCCCAACTTACGTCTCCAACGATATTTTTCCTAAACAGTTCCATTGAAAAACGTTGAATAATATTTTCTGAAAAATCGGCAAGGGCTCGTGTCGTTATCTTTATGTTCCTCTATAAATAGGCCTTTAGTCTCAGACGTAAAAGTCAACTGTGACTTTTTCGTGGTAAGCCACTCGTACTTGTCGTTCGGATAATTTGTTGGCTGCTGCTTACGATAGCGATGAAGGACTGCAGGTGTCGCTGTGACATTTATGGGATAAGAATAATTGTAAAAGTTGGCCAGCTCTCTTGGCGCGACAGTGAGTAGCTCCGTGGTTTACCGTCCAGGGAGCAGCACCAAAGAGGTACCGTATTGAACGGTAGGTGTCTGGACCTCTTCAACAGACCTCTTTGCGGGTCATTGGTGGGGGGCGGGGAGAAAGAGGGTTACGTCTGAAGGTGGAGAGAGGGGGGGGGGGAAACTGAATTATTTGCTGACATTATTATTTCAACGCCTAAAAAAATTGTTCAGTGCACTTGTCCCTAGGACAACGCTCCAGCGAATCCGAATTAATTCGAGTTCCAACGAAGTGTTACGCCGATCCCAAAAATATGTACAGTTTTATTTCCAACTTCAGAATTCGAATATTGTATTCAAATGCACCTTTCCCTGTATTCTTGCAAGTGACGCGTTAACCAAATAAAGCAGTGTGTGTGTGCGCGTATTCTGGTTAATTTATTGGGGGACGATATGAATACAATAAAGAGGAACGCAGAAGTTTTACTAGAGGCTAGTAGACGTGGGGCTAGAAGTATATTCAGAAAAAACAAAGTACATGTTAGTATCTCGTCGTCAGAAGACAGGCGGGCAAAATTATCTTAGGGTAGCTAATAAGTCCTTTGAAAGGGTTACAAAGTTCAAATATTTGGGAACAACAATAACACATCAAAATGATACTCGTGAGGAAGTTAGGAGGAGACTAAATTCCGAAAATGCTTGCTACTTCTCAGTTCAAAATATTTTGTCTTCCCGTCTGATTTCTAAGAACCTGAAAATTAAAGTATACAAAAAATAATCTTGCCTGTTGTTTTGTGTGGGTGCGAAACATGGTCTCTCACTCAGAGGGAGGAACACAGATTGCAGGTATGTGAGGAGGATATTTGGGCCTAGGAGAGAAGACGATGGGGCATGGAGAAAACTGCATAATGACGAACGTATGAGATGGGCGAGGAATGTAGCGCGCATGGATGGGACAAGAGGTGTGCACCGGGTATTGGTTGGGAGGTCTGAGGGGAAGAGACCGTTGGGGAGACCTAGACATAGATGGGAGGATAATCTCAGGCGGAATCTATGGGAGATAGGAGTTGAGGGTGATTGGATTTTGTCGGCCCAGGGCAGGGTCCGGTGGAGGGCTTTGGAAGATGACAAACAGTGTGACGCGAGTTTCCATTGCCCCCCACCATTCCAAGTGGCGAAGGACTTGCTCCTCGGTCTCCGAGAAAGCGGAAGCCCTGGCCGACAACCAGTTTCAGCAGGTGGACGATCCATTGGACCCGGCAGTTATTGCCATGGTCAACGAGGCAATGCTGGCATACGAGTATGCCCCCCGCAAGTGAATCGAAATTAACGAGTCCCTCGGAACCCTTTCAGGCCATGAAGGGACTCAAGGTTGGCAAGGCCCCGGGCCCCAAAAGTATTCCGAACAGGGCCCTGAGACGTCTGCCAAGGCGCGCGATAACGTTTCTCACGAAAGTGTTTAACGCGGTCCTCCGCAGGCAGCGCTTCCCCTCGGCATGGAAACACGCTCGCGCGGTGTCCATACTGAAGCCGGGGAAGGACCCCACGCTGCCCTCTTCCTACAGACCGAGTTGTCTTGACACGGTCGACAAGCTCTGCGAGAAGATCCTATTAACTAGGGTCCTACGCGAGGTAGACGAACATGGAGTGCTGCGTGACGAGCAGTTTGGGTTTCGTCCCAGACATAGCACGACGCTTCAGTTGGTCCGCCTTCTTGAGAGTTAACAGAAACTTTAACGAGAGGCGGCTAACCGGCGCGGTTTTGCTGAATGTGGCCAAAGCCTTGGACAAACTGTGGGTCAAAGGCCTCCTTTACAAGCTAGCAATCCTGAACTTCCCGTCCTACCTGGTGAAGACCATTTCATCATACCTCGACTGCTGAATAACCTTCCAGTCAGCCACACCCGCGTGCCGTTCAGTCTCTATATGAAAGACATACCCACTCCCTCCCGCCACGTCGAGCTAGAGCAGTACCGGGATGACACGGCTGTCGTTGCCACGTTCCGTAGGTCATGGCCCCTTGGTACGTTAGTAACAGGCAAATTGACGAGGATTTGGGGATCCCGCTCTTCTCCGACCTCATCAGAGCACTGACCAACTCAGAGTCAGCGGACGCAGGGAATCCCCTAGTGCTGCAAATTGCAAGGCACTTGTGCCGACCACGGTCTGACTGAGTTCACCCACGGGCAACCGAGGGGCGCTGATGATCAGCAAGCCAGTCAAGACTTTCCCTGTAAAGACGGCCAAGTCGGCACAACGGGTGGTCTAACCACTCGGTTACCCTGACAGGTTTTCCGTGATTTTTCTCAGTTGTAAGGAAAATTCGAGGGTTTAATTCAAAAGAGTCACGGCCCGCCATCCCCAATCACGGAGGCCTTCAGCCGAAGCGATCCCTCCCCCTCAGGGTTCAAATCCCAGAGAACCATCCAACCAGAATTCTTTGCACGAAGGACAAGTGGCCTGATAGGGATAACATCTCATCAGCAGCAACAGAGCCTAGTTTGAATAGTCAAGGCTTCCGCCACGACTAAACCCCGTTAGCGTAAGCGAATTCCCGTTTTAGTTACAAGGCTCTGTTTGCCATTTCCAGCAATGCGTTTTGTACGCAGGAATGGTGTTACCTAGCAAGGGACGTCTTGCGTCTCCGTCCTTAGTTAGCTTTTTGGTTGGTTGGTTGGCCAATCATGCATTCACTGAAACGTCGCCTTTCTGTTCCGAATTGACGCTGCTCGGCGCCCGAGAAGATTTTATCAGCATTTGTGGTATTTCTTCTACCATCACAACGTCAGTACAGCAAACTACATCAATAAGTGTGGACCCTCTAACCATCCTTTATACCGGATCCAGAAAATGTAAGTATGAAGTTTACATTTTCTGTCTTGATCTCTTCCTTCGCATCCTGTCTGAACACCTCGTTCATCAGTGGAGTCGTGGTCTGTTTCAGGCATTTTAACATAACACCTTACAAAATTAATATGGATGTTAATTAACACATTTGCGGTACACCTTGCAAACTGGCACAGAAGGAAAGACTGTCTTCGCCAAAAAAGGAAAAATTAAGAGAACTCGAAAAAGTAACGGGATTCGAGGTGACGATTGTGAATTGGATTGTAGTACCGTGTGGTCTGAAAAACACTGACCGGCGTTAGATAGTGGCTTTTTCCCCGTCTTCAGGAAACTGGACTGCTTTCGAACAGAACTGGTAAGGGCGGTGATGTGACATGACCGCCCTTACCAGTGCCTGACTGAATGATGATGAATTAGCTGGTCATTCTCTTGCCCGAAATTTTTATGTTAGTAGATTTCTAAAATAGGTTTTAAAACAAATTGAACATTTATTTTTAAAAACAATGCAAATAATATTCTTATATGCAATCTTTCTTTCTATATAAATTTCTGATTCCCCGTTGTCGTCAACCAATTTGTCGTCAAAAAATGACGTCATCAAACAATGTTACGTTATTTGTTTACTACGTTATATTTGTTTACTCGGCATTGTTGTACAAACACAACAATGCCAAGTAAACAAATGACTTGAGCAAGACACTAAACTGACCCCCCCGAAGGGGGGTTTAACCCCCCATTAGGGGGGTTGGTTTAGTTTCTTACTCAAGATTTTAAAACTCAACCAACCCCCCCCTCGAAGGGGGTTGGTCAAGTATTTTAACCCCTCCATTCGGGAGGGTTGGTTTAGTTTCTTACTCAAGATTTTAAAACGCAACCAACCCCCCGAGGAGCTCCGAAAGGAGCGCTCTGCTCTAGTGTATAAAAATATACATTGGAGAAGGCACGAGAAAAATGGTTTTTGAGATCTGTGTAAAACAAGATGACTGTCTTCTGGGTTGTGGCACCGTGTAGTCTGGTAGAAACTTACCAACGGTTCAGAGATCCTTGCTGCCTCCGTCATCAGGGCGACTGATCGCCCTGACGATGGACCTCCGAAACGTTGGTAAACTTGTACCAGAGTACACAATACTATAATACGGGAGACACCCACCTTCAGACACACCGCCGTGAGAACTTCAAATCCTACTATTAAAAAAGCCCATACAGGAATACCTCGTTTTATTGCGCTACACAGATATTGCGAGGGTTTTTTTATACAAATTTGAGGTTTGTGGCAACCCTGCGTCGAGAAAGTCTATCGGCGCCATTTTTACAATAGCGTGTGCTCACTTCGTGTCTCTGTGTCACATTTTGGTAATTCTCTCAATGTCCTTTTAGACATAATTCTATTGCACACTTAATAGACTACGATATAGTGTAAACATAACTTTTATATGCACTGGGAAACCAAAAAATTCGTGTTACTCGCTTTATTGCGGTGGTCTGGAACCGGACCCGCAATATCTCCGAGGTATGCCTATACATTTTATATGAAGTAGTTCGTTGTGCAGGTTTTTCTAATATTGATTGTACGAACGTGTTTCTTGTTATAGTGAAAGAGGCGTTGTTGTCGCAGTTTTGTGAAGATTGGTCACTGGGCCGGTGCAACGCGCCAAGGTTCCTCGTGTGACGTGTCATGTTCATGTCAGCGCCGCTTTACATCGTCAGCGCCACCAGCAAGGAGGCGCTACCACTCAAGTTTGAAAAGATTGTGATGCCGTAGCTGACAATGATGATGGTGCTTTACCAGTCTCCCCGCAGGCTGTGCCCATTGCGCATGGGCGAGTGAGGTAGTTTTGTTCGAGAGACTACAAATAAATAAATATCCAGGTACTACCGCGTCAGTCTGTCAGTGCTCAGCGTGTGGAAAGGAATTCATAACACGTGTAAACTACCACAAAAATTGTTCTTGCCATAAATTTTTTATTACTATTGATTATTAATATTATTTTATAAATATAGACGGTTGGCGGCAAAAAAAAAGGTGCATATCGAGACAGGGAATGATGAGTCGAAAGTGCGTATTGTGAAGTGTGAGTAGTCGATTGTATTTTATCGCATTGTGCGATTGCAGGTTACTACATTGTTGCTCCATCACATCCGACCCCGCCCTGGTCTTCTGTCTCGCCTTTATCCAATAACCAACATTGACTAGCTCCAAATTCTTGGCATTTTAGGTAAAAATATTTAAAATAGGACACAAATACAAAGTCCCTGGAGAACAATTTCTTTTCTCTTTGTATCTTTCATGTTCTCGCTCTTTTTCTCACACTCTGACGTGACAGATTGTAGTTATTTCCTTCCACGTTGCCACATCTCCCCACTTTAAGGAGGCCAGAATCTCGTTGTATTAAAGAGTGAAGTTTGGCAACATCTCATATAAAGGCATGAGTAACTCGTAGAAATTTTCCTTTTAGACATATTATCAGCCCTCAGAGTAAGTAGAAGTAATTTTAGGATTTCCTTGGAAGCAAATCTGATTTGACAAAAAAAGAAGAGATAAAAATGTTAGTAAAGGAAACAGCTTTTTTCAGATTAAAGAGGCATGCAATATAAAGTCTACCTAGGTTTCGAACTAAGTAACTAATTAAGGCCTGCCATGTACTAGCTTGTTACCATTTCTCTCGTCTCCGCTAGCATATAGAGGAAGGACATGCTGTTTCGCAGAGAAGCTACTAGATATAATAATTAATAATAATACAAACGAGACTATTCTTACTAATACTCCAGAAACACTAAATCTGCTACCAAGCTGTAGACCAAAGCCAGTAAGTCCGTAGAAACTTGTAGCCGTATTTATACTTCCAGCGATTTCCAAGCACCTTCCCCTCGCGCACCCATAATTACGTCCGTTGCGCTATGGAATAATGGAAATATTGCAGAAGTATTTTCAAAGTAGCGCCAACATAGAAGACATTGGGGAAAATAAGCTCCCTCCCAGCCACGTGCTTATGACTCGACTTGTTATAAATCTGAAGGAGATGTCAGCGCACTCTCTGATTCATTCAGTCCGATGTTGGTTGGTCGAGCGTCCGGCTGGCGGCGTCAGTTGAGTGAAGGGAGACCGAACAAACCGCTCGCTAAAACAGTATCATTTCAATAGAAATAATGAATTACATTTGTCATTGTTGCGTGCGTGTGATGTGTGTATGCCCACAGGAGATACTCCCCCTGTCAGCGTTTGAGGTTATTCGAGGGGAGATGTTTTTAATACCCCGGTGATATTTGTTAATAATAGTTTGAACGAGTGGAACTATCACTACCAAAGTAAAATAATAATAATAATAATAATAAAAGTATGTTTCAAGGATATTTGAACGCTCACAAGGAAACAGTACTATACATCATGAAACACGTAGGCCAATTTATTGCGAACCCGATGTGTATGATACTACATATAATAACAAAAGGTCATTTCTTGTTGAATACTTGATTGTGAACAAACTAGTTCCGAGCACTGTTTTAAGTGCTTTTATTTTTTGGGCTGTGTGAAAGCTAAGTAGGGTTGGATTTAGCTTTTTGCCTAGCTCCAATTTTTTCCAGTTATGGCGATTCAAATTCATTCCTCAAACAAAAGGCTTTCTGCCCATCCCCCCCACCCCAGCCCTGACCTCCTAATCCCATTGCATTGTTCTGTAGTCCAATTAAGTGTAGATTCCCCTCTCCCGTGTAGTACCATTATGAAATCACTCAACTGCATTACTGCTGCTTGCAGTGTGACGAAGCAGACCACGGGCAGCAGTTTGGACTATGGCAGATATACTGTACATTAATACATATCCTAACGCTTTTATTGCTCTGTTTGTGTGTGTGTGAGAGAGAGAAAGTGTGTGTGAGTGCGCGTGCGCACGGCACATCGCAACGAGCACTGCCGAAGTGCATGATGCCTCAGTGGCGTGCATACTAGTGTGTGACAACATGCACAATAGGTTGTGAATGTTTTAGAGGAAAGTGCGATTCATGACAGGAGAAGAGAAATCGTGCAATCGAGTCACTCAAAAAGCTATCCAAAGTGGATATAGCACGTCCATCATCAACACTATTAAATAGTGCCAGCCCCAACAATAACCTGGCATGGCAGGTCAAACGTGCTGTTATGTTATTTATACCAGTATCTATTTTTTGAATCGTTAATTTTTAAATAGGCTGATTGTAACATAAGTCTGATCATGACCTTAAAGTAAGTAAGTAAGAATAGCTTAGGTAAAAGGCACTAGTTATGTTTGTTACAATTTGAAAAATTTTATATGTGTTGAATAATATTTACAAAAACATTCCTCTAAAAGTGCAGAATTTATGTGCATGATCCTCCATAATTGTTAATGGCATGCAAAAGTGGATTGAGCCAGCCACTGATTGGGTAAGGCAGCAAACAAACATAATCCTGAAGATTTACTTAAAGTAGGACTAACAACACTACAGGCAGCATTGGAGATGTGTCTTTTAATTGGCCATTGCTGAAGTGGATACTATATTGACATAGACACTTGAAAGAAAAGGCAAATTATCATTATCATTCCAAAATATAAGAATCCTTACTGTCTCTAGAATTTGTCACTAATTCTAAATCGAATCATAGTAGTAGTTAACCTGAAGTCCATTGACATTCTGTGTTCGTCAAAATGTGGAATTTCACAGAGACCCTCATGTGTTTATAGATGGCCAGTACATCCATCCTCAATAGATGCATGAAGCGCTACAGATATACAAATTGTCACATTCTCAACAACACAGGTGAGTGTGTGTGTGGAAGAGAATGAAATCCTTGGCTTAAAAAAAGTAACGGCATTGTTGGCCTTTCTTACGTCAGATTACATTGGTTGGAATGTTGTTATGCTGTTGTAAACACGACATACTATTCATGAATTGAAGGATGCTTGTCGGAATTGTAGCACTGAATTTATTGAACATTCTCTGCTTTAGAATACTCGGTGGCCAACACCAAGTTTCGAGACAAATGAGTAAATAAACATGAAGATAAATTTCATAAATGTCAAATATAAAATTATACTGGAAATTGTGCTGAACTGAAATTGTGTGTGTGTGTGTTGAGAGCTTTGACGTCTTTCAGAAGATCAGGTTTGGCCCAGTATTGAATCTTTATATGAACATGAGCTCAAACTGATAATAGAGTATTTCAAGTCGTGCTTTAGAGTTCATTAAAGCTTTCATTGCCATTCCAACCAACCAACAACCACTTTCCCATGTCATAATGGAGTTCTCTACTAAGTTTGGTTTAAATTAGCCTAGAGCAGTGGTTCTTAACCAAGGGGTTATTAAAACATGGGACATCGCACATTTTTTTAAAATAAAATATGTGTCAATAGAACGACATCTGGCAGTAAAAAAAATCAAAGAATGTTTTATATAACTTAAAATATTTCTATTAAAAATGTCTACAGATAGCAAAATATGAAAGTTACCAACTGATATTAATGGTATTTTACCGTGAAACGTGCATTTGTCTTGCCTTTACAAATTTATAAATCTGTGGCACTGCAGAGGAAACACATGACACCAACAAGTCGTTCATCGTTGATGGAAGGCTGCGTTGTTTTCCCCAAACAGCCACTGATGAGAGTCCAAACTTGCAAAAGCATGAAGTAGGAAAATGCTCTAAAACCATTTTTGAAACTTCTGAAACCAGTTCAGGAATAACTTATCCAAGTCTTCTACAGAGAAATTGAAACTAACCTTTTATGTGAGGAGATATCAGTCAGTTGATCATCGCTTGGCTTTTCTTTTTAGCAGGAGCAAAGGTATTCCTTTTTCTGTGGAATAAACACTCACCTTTTGGACAAGTCACTGAGAGAAGTAGTCCAACAGTTGTTATGTAGTTCATTTACATATATCACTGTGATGCTGGTTGGCGTTTGGATGTTGACGCTACTGTCATCTGTAATTTGTTCAACAAACTCTCATGTAAGGATGGATGATTCAAGTTATTCTTATCTTATCAAAGCAGTTTGACCAGATTTCCATTTACTCCGTTAACGCATTGAATATACCCTGCATAATAATATTTTTATTGTAAGATTTGAGGTTTTCACAGCAGTGAGTATGAAGATTTCCGTCTTCTGGGTTGTTGCGCTGTGTAGTCTGGTCGATGGTTACCAACGTTTCAGAGGTCATACTGCCTCGGTCATCAGAGTATGAAGATTTCTGTCTTCTGGGTTGTTGCGCTGTGTAGTATGGTAGAAGTTTACCAAAGTTTCAGAGGTCATACTGCCTCCGTCATCGCCCTGATGACGGAGGCAGTAACATCGACCAGACTACACAGCGCAACAACCCAGAAGACAGAAATCTTCATACTCTGATGACCGAGGCAGTATGACCTCTGAAACGTTGGTAACCATCGACCAGACTACACAGCGCAACAACCCAGAAGACAGAAATCTTAATATTTTTATTCCTCCCCGCAAACTTATTTTGAGCTCATTGAGATAAGAAAATATGTGCCACATTGCTTCATTGTCATGAACGTATGTCATTAATTCAGCTCTTGGCTAAAATACTGTGTAGCCAATTCTTTCCTCTTAATAACCAGTGCAAGAGGAGGGAGGAGGTTTAATCTGAATTCAGTGTTTTTCCTCAATAATGCAGGAAACAAGTGAGACTCCACTGCTAGCCTCTTAATGGCATTTCTTCTTGTAGCTTTATGGGTAGCTATGTGGGTCTTAGCTTGTTCGACAAGTTTTTTCCATTCTGTCCTATCATTCACAATTCTTCTCCATCCCCTCACTCCCATCGTCCTCACATCCTCCTCCACGTCATCTATCCATTGTTTCCTTGGTCTTAATGGCATTTACCACTGTGATGTTTTAATGAAGTACTTTCATTAATTTGGGGACATTACTTAGGTAGTAAGAGAATTTTGCGTATCCTTTTTTAATCTAGCAAAGAGCCCACTTGTCTAACTTGGTAGTTTATTTAACTCTGTAACTGCATACAGACGTACATGTTAACCATTTCACTGAACAAACACGTCAAAAAGACGTTGACCCGTTGTGTGACCACGCAGTACCTTGCAGCAAAAGAAAACATACATTTTTCCACGGATCCTTCTGAAATATATCTGACAAAAGCTATAAACTGCACTAGATTCAGAATCTCAGTGGATTCACTAAACTCGATTACAACATACATGCTTTTATTTGGATTATGTATCAGCTGTTCAGTAATTAATTTCAAAATAATTTCATTTGAAAATGGAATACTTTTTAGTTGTTTTTTAGCTTTCACCACATAAATTGGTGCAGGAGTAAAATCTGCATGGTTTTGAACAGTACTGTACAATTTACATTTTTGTAAATTTTTAATGATACATGATGAAACACTTCAAGTAAATTCTTATTAATGTTACAAATATTACAGATCACATTTTTTTAGTGTAATCGACAGGGCTATCTTTTAAATCGAAGGTTTTGTTTCCAAACGCCACACAAACTCTGAAGACCTCACACTCATAGAAGACAGAACTGTATACAGCAGATTTGCAGTCTTTTATCTCTAAACATAAATCCACATTGCAAGTAGCTTTCATTGTACTTCATGTTTTCATTTTATTTTCTTCATTCTGCGTCTGGGAAACTGAAGGGGCACTTCTTTCCAAATACTTGTCGATCATGGGTATAAAAATGTTTTAAAATGTAGAAATGGACAGCTCAAGACAAAATGACACAAAGCTGTCAGTGGGATGTGGAACGTACTCGGGTCACGTCTCGGCCGAAGTCAAGTATACACTTGTCTACGCTGGTGCACTTCAGTGATGTGTCACGGTGTTCACTGGCTTGTCTTATCTCATTTCCACCCTCTTCTGACATGCCAGCTCAGATGGTACGCGCACAACGTGTTTTACTGAAGAGGGTCATGGACAATTGCAAAAGTTTTCACTTAAGAAAATGGGTCATCAGAGATGGAAGGTTGAGAAACACTGGCCTAGAGTAATAGAAATTATTAGTAGAGAATACTCCCATAAACAAATATGGTGACAAAACTAGCAAAAACTACATATCTTATTCAGCAAGCGAATTTGACGAATCAGAAAAATGTGAAGTTATGACAATGGTAATGAGTGTGTAATGAAATGCTCTTGATTATTTATATAGAGCTATCTTAAACTTCAGATTTATCATGTTGATACTTTTAATGAATATTTTAAAAATATGTTTGCAGTTAATTTTAAATCAGTGGATCCCAAACAGAGTTCAGTAAACTGAAATTGCAGTTATTCTGAACAGATAATTGAAAGTGATCGTGTGTTGTTAAATCGTTGATTCGTGCGCTGATCTCTGTATAAGGTGGGAACCACTCTTTTAAAATTCCAGAAGATGATACAGAAGTGTTTGGTAGATATTTGCCTTATACTGGCTCATTATTTTGCGTCATTGGCTTACATGGTCTGGGCAGCTTTGTATGTACAGCAAAGCTGTATCCACAGGTGCTGATTGTTCAAGATTAATACAGTTACTTCAGATTCGTGCCATATTGAAGTCCGTAATATCTAAAAAGAAATCCCTGTCTAGTCCTTTTGCTGTATTAGGCGTTGGCGTACAGAATCGAAAATGAAGCTGTAATGCAAGTCACATCGACATTAATTGAATTTTTATTAATGAAATGGTTTAAATGCAATCCTTACTAATAATATTTGTATCAACAATAATGATGTTCTAAGTACAACAGTGTGGTATACTTACATATCGAAGTTCCCCATTGTTCTCATGTAGTACACAAAGCTTTGCCGTTGATCTGGCTTAGCAAGTACTGAAACAAGCTCACAAGAATGGGGATGTGTCAAGAACATGGCAGAGCAATAACAGCAGTGAATCTGCATCTTAGCTATCAGAAATTACCATTATTCTGATGTTTTACTAATGTTTCTTTGTTTTGCAGTAAAATTTTACTTCTCAGTAGTTCACTTGTAACATGTAGAAGCCCTTAACCTTCTCATAAATATGTTTCAGCCAGAAAGATGTATCTTGTAGGAAGGCCATGTTCGTGAATATGTTTGGAGAAAACATGCTGTTGAATAATTGTAAAAACTGTAAAGCATTCTGCCTCCAGACATTACTCATTAAGACCAAGTTGACTTTACATTGTTTGATGGACATGCTATAACCGCTAATTTTAAATCTGTCAAAGTAGCAAGAAAGTAAAAAAGCAACGATAATTCTACAGTGCTGAAGATTCTTCTCTCAAATCATACATTGCCTTTTGAAGGATTTAGCTCGAGGTAAGACGTGCTGAAGTGATTTCCATTCAGCTATTCATTTTAGCCAGCCAAGCCAGAGAAAAATCCAGGCAGTATTGTAATATAAATAATCTAAATAATAGCCCAAAAGTAGGAGTAGCATGCCATCTAGAGCCAGTGGATAAAACCTTCAGTTTATTATTACCAAAAATGATAATATTAATAATAATCTGTATAATACAAAGTGACATACAGAGTAAATTAAAATATTTACACAAACAACGTCTGAAACTTTGTGAGGCATTATGGAGTATTTCATTCTTATACAATATGAGTCAATTAACTACACTCGTCTGAACGATCATTTTTATATCCACTTCTTTGTATTGCATCATGTACATAAGTGTAAATATGACACCATTGTTTGTTTTACACCTGATAATGTTTATTGTTGACAATTTTAAAAAGTACATAAAGGGTTATTTTACTTTGTTGAGTGGATTATAAAAATCTGAAAAATTCTACTGATGTCATATGTCCCATATTTTGTAGCAGATGACAGACGTTTCAAAAGTACATTCTAATATGATTATAATAATAACAATTATTATTGTCATCAACAAACTGACAATGCAGCTGTGTTATTTGGTTTAGCATGTCACAATGTTAAACTTCTTTCGGATTTGAGGAACAGACTCTGGTTCTAGATTTTCCTCTAGATTGCTTTTTGTCTTGGCTTTGTTTCTTCACTTACAAGTTATAAGTATTGTTCTTGGCTACGTGCCAAGCAAAAACTTGCTTTGACATTTGGGACTTAGCCCACTCTATGCCATAACTGTTTTAACTGCAGTTCAAACATTTAGAAGTGTACTGACACAGCATTATTAAAATCAATCTTAATACTTCTACGTCCTGTATAACAATCCAAATTTATAACAGAATGTTTGTTTACTGCCAACATTATTCACTGTGTGAGAAAGGGCCAAAGGCTGAAATCAGTTGAATGCATAGGAGTTAATGATAATAAAATTGTTCTCATGAATCATTCTGTATGAATGTTTCAAAGATTGGACTTAACTTTAGTCATTGTTAACTTTGGAACCAATTGAGTTTCTCCTTCCATGTTTTCCAAGTGGAGATGTTTGAAGAATAAGTGATTTTTTAGTAGGTGATGTGTTTGAATGTACAGATTACTGTGGCAGACAATAGCCATCCACCTCTTTGTTAGCTCTCTCTTTCTGTCTCTCTCTCTCTCACCGTATTCTCCTCCTGCAGATAGTCCAAAAAGACCCTTCAAAGAATGAATCCATCCTATTTTTGCCATTCACTCAGCCATCTAGAACGTAGCCTCTCCCCTTCCTGATTACCACATCAACCACAGATTCTGTCCAAGTGATCCTTGCGTCAGGAGAAATCAAACCGCCCGCTGCCACTCTTCATCTGCCACGGTTGATATGCACCGTGGGCCGAAGTGTGTTCTTTTTTTCAATGCCAATAAAACTTTTAAAATGATCATGACTGTGTGAGTCATTGTTACTTTCATAGGTCATAAGTAGCAACAACAATGCCCACATGGAAAGTCCTCCAATAACTTTTCCTTTATTTTCACTTGTTTCTTTGTTTTACAGAGTCAGTAGGGATTCTTTATTGTTTGAAACTGATTGTATTTATAAATTCCTTGGCTGTGCTGTATGGTGCATCTCCTGCCATATAAATACATCTGTGTTGTACCCCTTGTGTTATGGGTCAAATGGGCAATAAAATTAAGTGAATGCCATTACCCATGCATCTTACACATTGTTAAAATAAGCAATTTTCAAATAAAACATTCAATGACTGATGTCATTTATTTTAACAGTTCTTCCTAGTGTGAGCATTTGTTCGCTGTGAATCGCTCTGGACACTATTTGTCACAAGGTAAGTATAAAACACATGAGTTACATAATTCAGTGAACCTCAATTGTTTTAAAATAAAAAAGGGCCATGACAGTTGTATGTATCAGGTTGCAAGTCTTTATGAGTACTATTACTGACATCATGAAATGTCATTACCAGTTCTTAGAGTAAAGTGAAGTTTTGACTCTGCATGTTGTTAACAAACAACAAAATAACTCGTATACTGATACTTGGCTTTGCTATTTTCCCAAACTAAACACACCTGTCCCTCGATTTATAAATTTTTACTACAATTTCCTTTATGGTTCTTGAAAGTGAACTTTAAAGTGTGCAGATATAGCCTCCAAGATGCTTCAACGCAAAGAACAAAATGTTATCTCTGAAGCAGGTTTTACCAACAAACGTTGCCAAGGCCAATTGCAATGGGGGGTGAAGTCAACACACTGAAACTCGAAGCACTTGAAATGGCAAACAATTGGGGAGCCAGCAGTATAATTTTGCCTCAGTTAAAGCCCTGTAGAACAGAAAAACGTTCACACTACTTCCTTTCAGATCTAGAAAATAGTTTCAAAAGTATTGTTTTCATCCACTATGGACAAATTACTTCGGCAACCAAAAAGCCACTTCAAAACCAATCAATGAAGTAAACATTGTCAAACCTATGACTCCTCAAGCACTTATTTCAGTGAATGATGAGGAGAAAAGCTGGTGCAGGTGTACCCAGAACTTTCTTAAAATTTTCCAGGACATTTATCATCCCACAGGTTTTGTGTGAAACTTAAGTTCGTGCAAGATCTTGCCAAGTTCGTTCTGATCACAAATCACATTTCATCTGGATTCCCTCCTTCATTTTTCATCCTGACTATTCATGTAACTATAGGATTGGGTGAAAGTTATAAAAAATTGATTATTGTGCCATCACAAAAGCAGGTGACCTGCTGCATAAGAATGCATTTTTGGTTGTATCAAAATCGCACAACAGTATAGTGACTGGACGACTGGGATTCGATCCCTGATGGGGGCAGAAGATCTTTCCTCTATCCTTTGCATCCAGACTGCCTGTGCGGCCCACCCAGCCTCATATCCAATGGGTACCATTGTTCTTTCCGGGGGTAAAGCGCGGCCGGGGCGTGAAGCTAACCACTCACCCTTATCTAGTGCCGAGGTTAAGAATGAGTAGGTGCTGCACGACTTCTCTCCCGAAGTGCCAATATGAAATTTAGGTCAGTATGAGAAGAGATGAAATCTGCAATACATGCTGCCACTTGGAAGTTAAAACTCTGCCCATACGTTTTGTAGTTTCATCTATAGGGACAACTCATTACAGCATTGTCAATTAAGTAATTGAAATTTCTTTTGGTTTCAGGGATTTTGTATTATATAAGAAAACCTTCTGGACTATTAAAATCATACACAGAGAATCCACATTCGACAGTTAATATCTGTGCGCCAAACGCTATTATTCTTAACCACTTCTCCGGTTCCATTGTTTCTCCAAAACTTGTAAATCTGCATTGAACTAGGTCTCTGCTGGCGACATAGTACTCCATCATGAATATATTGCGGTGCCATCTATCCACAGATAGAGTCAACTACTACAGAATGGCGTGGTACATGCAGCCATTGCCGGAAACGCATTCGGTGAAAACGTTCACTAGCTAACTGTCAATACCCTTCTCATTCCGTACTCGGCCGCAAATACTTTTACTACAGATGAATTCGATACTTTGTCCATACACACAGCAGGGGCAAAAGTACAAAAATCGTTCCTAAGATCCACTTCATTTCAGCAAAGGAACTACTATTTTGTCAGTTTTAAAGGGTACTGACGATAGTGTGTTACAATCGGGATCACTAAATTCTTGGACTATGTCCATCGTCGGTGTATTTAAAAAGAACACTACGTTTCGGAACCTGAATCTGCTTCCGTCTGCAGGTTAATGAGGTGAGAGGGGCACCTACTCAGTTGGGTCCGATAGAAAGAACTAACCTCAATCATTGGACCCAACTGAGTTGGTGCCCATTCCGTTTTTTAACCTGAGGACAGAAACAGATACAGCTTCCCGAAACGCAGTGTTCTTTTTACAAACACGGACGATGGACATTGTCCAAGAATTAAGTGATCCCGATTTACTACATTAATATCCATGAAATATTGTAGCATTTCAGTAGTTAGTGGTGTTGCCAAGGTAATCTCTTTCTCCATTTAATGCTAATCAGTACAGAAAAACTTCGCATACCCTTCATTTGCTCTGAGAACGGGAAAAGTTCTTGTCTGGTAGTAGGATTTCAAACCCGACGTATAGTAGTATATTTCCTAATGGTACATAGATGGTAGCATATACGTAGATGGCAGCACTAACGTTTCCAATGAATAATGTATGATGACCTTCGCATGACTCTGTGTTGCCGAGGCGGAAATAATCAATAAGAACGGATAGTGCGTATGAATACATTATGTTGCATAGCATTTAGTTTTCTGTAATATTATACATAATTAAAGTAGTCAGGCACTACGAAATACTGCCGTACAGTAAATATTTTGCACTACTCACATATCTTTGGTTTTAACTATAATGTTTTGGTTATAAATGTTTGTGATTATATTGCGCGGAAGGAACGTCGGTGTATAGGTTGTTGTGGCCGGAACGAAGGCGAGTGTTTCATATCTTAATGTATATTTTATGTTTTATTTAATTGTGTAAGTGTGTAAAAGAGAATACTAGTTACATTTGTATTTTAACTTTTAATTCCATTTTGTGTTACAGGTCATCGTTGGCAAAGTAAGAACTAAGTCATTATGACCCAGTTTCTTCCACCAAATTTGCTAGCCCTTTTTGCCCCACGCGATCCCGTACCATATCTTCCTCCACCAGATAAATTACCCCATGAAAAGAAAAATCGTGGTTATGTTGGAGTTGGCTGTTTTCTTCAGTATTTTGAGGTAAGTTAGTTCAGTGTACTGTGTTCGAGCACCTTACGAATATTGTATCTACCGCAGGGTTTAATGTGCTTCAGAATATAAATAAAAGGCTCCACCGGACGTCTGGTAATATTGTACACAGTTGCGATTACATCAACAGGACTTTTAAATTCTAGCCTTTTTGCTTATAAATTTCAATAATAATGTCCTGCATTTTAGATCTTGTTACTTTTTTCAGAACTCTGTCATAAAAAACGTCCAAATTTACCTTGGCCTTCACACCCTTTGCCAAGTACACAATTACTGAAGTATGCAATATTATACTTAAATTTGTAATTGTGCTTGTATGAATGTTATTTTCATGTTTCCTGCAGTCTGTTTTTATTTTGCCACACATGTTATTACAGAAGGTGGTGATAACCTGCAATGAAGAGACATTTGTTAACTGGGATTGTTAAAAATTCTTACATCCATTTTGAGATAAATTTATATTAAATTATATAATTCATAAGACGATGGTTTTTTATAAAAAAATAAAGGTTGCACTTTATAATACCATACTTTGTGTAATACCACAGTGGATGTTAATTGCACAAGAGTTGGTGTATTATCTAAATTGAGTTACTTTGCTTTATGTCCGCTGGCTTAAGTTGAGGTGTCCGTTGTTGGTCTACAGTGATCTGTGGTTGCGTTGTCTGTGCCTGTGAACTTCAGGGTTGCGTTACCAAATCCTTTGTTTTTCATGTTAACTGACTGGAATATCTTAAAATTTCCACTAGGATCCAAAGGACACTCCTCCTCCTACCAGGGTGGAAACAAGGGATGAGCGACTAGAACGAAGGAGACGAGAGAGGGCAGAACAGGTTGCATATAAGCTAGAACAGGAGATTGCTGTGTGTAAGTTCAGAATGTGGGCACCCTTAGCAATAAGTTATTAATATTAAATCAGAACTGGAATAATTCACGTAAAAGTGTACATTATGCTCTCCATCACTGATATGTAGAGAGATATTTATCTCTGTATCATCAATTGTAGAGGAAAGTGTATTTTGCAGAAAATTCCATTTTTTATGTATCATTGAGCATACATTTTTTAATATGATGATGTCATCGTAGAATGCAGTGTTTGTCATAAGTGTTAAGAAATATCTTAAAGGAATGTGCATGTTTATTTATCTAATATTGTTTGCTTGTTTTTCCAGGGGATCCTCACAGTATTCCAACTGCTACTGGTGATCCTTTCAAAACATTATTTGTAGCTCGCATTGTAAGTCTTAGAGGTCAACTTTTTTATGTCAGAAGTCAGTTATTTCAAATTTTGGTTGCACATGTGATGTTAATAATATATGCATTTGTGTTTGTTTCAGAATTATGACTCTTCAGAATCTAAATTGCGAAGAGAGTTTGAAGTGTATGGACCAATTAAAAAGGTAGAATTTGTAGTGTTAGTGTATCTAAATCTGTAGCTTCAGTTATCTGTCAGTCATTGTTTTGTATTTCATGCGAAACAATTTCATTGTTAAGCAAATTTCTTGTTACCCATTTAGATTCCCTTATTATATCCCTTGTCTGGTGCAAGGGGTGGGAAATAGGAGATAAAAATGGTTTGGGGGAGGGGGGAGGCAAGCGACAGTCTGACGACTGCGAAGCAGTGCCAAAATCGCAAAATTTTGATTGAAATTGACCGATGAGTCAGAGGTACTTACTGCCTCTATGATCGTCAGGGCAGTGACTTATCGCAGCATTCCAGAAGACAACCATCTTCACTCTAGCTGCTGTGAGACGCTGAAATCTCGTGGAAAAGACTTTGTCGTGAGACATGGCACCAAAATAGTATATAATGAATGCATGACTTTACTGTTGTTCCCCTAGACCAGTGGTATTCAACCTTTTTTGTTCGCGTACCCCCAGATATAATGAGCCGGGATAGCTCAGTCAGTATAGTGACTAGCTACGGGCTGGATGGCCGGGGTTCGATCCCCGACGGAGGTAGAGGATTTTACCTCTAGCCTCTGAGTCCAGACCGGCTCTGGGGGCCACCCAGCCTCCTCTACAATGGGTACCGGGGTCCTTTCCCGGGGGTAAAGTCGGCCGGGGCGTGATGCTGACCACTCACCCCCATCTAGTGCCGAGGTCAAGGAAGGGAGGAGCTATACCTCCTCTCACCCCATGCGCCTATATGGCGTATAGCAGAATAAACTTTACTTTACCCCCAGATATAATTTTTCTTCAACTTTGTACCCCCAAAGTTGTTGCTGTATAATTCAAGTTATACATAGTATATAATCTACATCTAAAATAAATTAAATAAATTACATTACTGATTATTCAGTGTTTATCATAAAATAATTTTTTTTTTTTTTAAATTTCATGTATCCCCTGAGATGTCGTCGCGTACCCCAGGTTGAATACCACTGCCCTGCCTGTGCTTTATATAGGCAGCGTACTAAGAACTGATGATTTTAGCGCTTTGTTGCCAATGGGAGCACAGCTGACAGAGAATGAAAAGAGCACTAGTGACCTTGTTGTGTTTCAGGATGTAATTTTGCATGACGCTGAAAGGATCGGACTCGTTTTTGCCATTATAATTAAATAACTGTGCTGTGGTGGCAGGCATGTATGTGTTGGGTTTTGGCGTGTATGGTTGTGAACCAAAATGGGGTCGTGGAACATTTTATCGAAAACAGAATGACTGTAGAAGTTTTCTTTTATGTGTACGAATATCTGCCTTTCATGAGAAAACTGACATCTGTTATGTTATGGCATGTTTCAGATTGTGGTGACTCACAATACAGTAAATGGCAAGCCACGGGGTTACGCGTTCATCGAGTATGAACATGAGCGGGACATGCACTGTGAGTAAAACTGGACTCCCTTGCTGCTGGGTTGCCCACTCAGATGGCACAGTTAAGAGATCAGAAGATCCAGTTAAGTCAGTCAGTTGACTTGTACATTACGTGTTATTTTACTGTGGATTTAAAATCTAGTCGGCCAAGTGGTAGGACGTGCGTGCTTTTGGATGAGTCGAAGTTGTTCGGGGCAGTATTAGTGTCGAGACCTCGATGCTACTCTGCGCAAGTTAGTTTTGAATGCTATCTTGTTTGTCATAATTTAAATTCTGAGATTCACTGTTCCTATTTTGAATATATGGCAAGGCTCAAAAAAAAGAAGAAAAGAAAACAGACTGTGTGCTTGGTGGGAACAAATGTTGGCCGTGTGTTTCTAACATTCCATCACACTTTTTTTCGTGTCCAGTACACACCATTCAGCATGGTGTGCATTGGTGGTTAGCAGGATTCACGACCCATCAGTACATGGGTTAGACCGAGACCGCGACATTTAACGCTCCTGCTGTGACCCCCTTTTTGCGAGATGATGATGAAAGTGGAGTAATCGTTGGGATGCCATGGAGAAACCGGAGGAAAACTCCGTGATGCCGAGACCACGGCCTTGCCAAACACAAGTTGTAAATATGAGCACCACTGGGAATAGAGCCCGGGACCGCAGTATTACAACCGTGGCGGTTCCTCATTACCTTATGTTGTATCTGCAGTTGTTTGAGTGGTCCAGGAACTTCTGAAAACTTAACTTGGCCATCGGAAGTGGCGTAAATGAATATGGCTCTTCCCGAGTCCATCTTGATCCATGTCCAGTAAGCACTTGTTGCTGTCACAGTCTTTTTATCCTGAGGAGAATGATTTTGGATTGCTTTGTGCACTAATGAGCCAGCATAGTTTGCCAGAGAGAAATATTAATACAGGTTTTTATCTTGTTCTTGGTACAGCATGGCGGGCTGCTGGCAACTAGTGCCCCCCTTTTGTGTGCAAAATCCAAACATTGCTGGCTAAAATAGGTTTGTATGTGTGGTAAGACCCAACATACAAAGAAGTAAAAGAGGTTTAGTATTAG